GCGTTCCTATCTGGAGAGTTCTGTTGAGGGCCATGATGAGAGGCCCAAGAATTTCCAGGATATAACCACGTCACAGTAGGCCGAATGCTCGCATCATGCTCTGGTGGCATTCCATGCAGGCACATGACACAAACCCGTGGTTTTCTTTGTGGCAAAATTCTCAGGGCATCACTCTCATTCTTCCTGTATACCTGCCCATCTCTCCCTCACCTCTCGGGGACATCCCATGAGTTTTGACGTGCAGCCTGTTTGCCTGGCCCATTCTGCAAGTGCATTAGGGACATCAGGTATCCTTGGTGGTCTGCTTTCCCCTCTACTACATGTGCCTTTGGCCAACAGTCCCTGGCCCGTTTCTGCAGCTCCTTCCTGCTCTTGCCCCGGGCTGGATTACCAGCTGTGCCCGGTGGAGCTTGGCTGGACGGATGGTGCCCCGCAAGGCGCTCTATCCATCCCCTTCCTCCTCTGGGCAGAGAAGATAAAATAAAGCAAACCAGAAACCAACTTGAAGCTTGGTAGAAGTCAGTTTGCTCAAGAAATGTGAGAGCTTCTGCATGTGGAAATACACTGGGAAAAAGAAAAGGATTTCATCTCCTCCTTCCCACAGGAAGTAGGGGCTGGCCACTTCCCTGGCGCAGGCCTTCCTCATGTGTCCTGGTGGCTCACAAAGGCAAACTTTGTAAGTAAGGCTGCAGGAATGGGCTCTGTGAGAAGAGTGCAGTGGCTCCTGCCATGTCTGCCTGAGTCATCTCCACCTGTGTGCAGAGGGGACTCAGTCCAGCCCAACACGGAGCACATTTGTCACACTGCTGATGTCTCTCTGCAGGCAGATTTCATTGGCAATGCTTTGGGCTGGAAGGCAAGTTCAAGGGCAGTTCTTTCCACTCCTCCTGCCCTCAACAGATGGGCACTGATGCCAGCCACTAAAGCGGCTTGCTGAAAGCTGTGTCCAGCCTGCTCTTGCACACTTCCCGCCTTGAGGCATCCAAAACCTTTCTGGGCAAGGTATTACAATGCCTCAGCACCCTCAGACAGAGGGACATCTTTCCCAGCTCCAAGGGAAAAGGGAACAGGGAATCCCTGCAGGGCAGGGATTGTAATGCTGGGATTCCTCCACCTTGTTTCTCATCGCAAATCCGCAAGTGATGTCACAGAAAGAGGGGGAAATCAGAAGCCAAGGTTTGAATGCAAAAACTATTTTATTGAGTCAAAAGAAGAAAAGGAGGAGGCTCACAGAGGGCACCAGGAGCAGCCACTATGACGCCCCAGTGATTCCTGACGTCCTGGCCTGCAGAGGAGAAAAGTGCAAGAGGTCTCACTAGGCCGTCCATGAGTGGCGGTGATAGGAAAGGAATGGAACAGGAAAATGAGAGCACGAGGAGAAGGAAACACTAGTGCAAAGCTCTAAATCCAATGTCTTAAATTTCTGACTTCATTCCAGCTCCATGTTGTGAGGTCTTGGAGGTTCTGGCCCAAGGATATTGGCGGCAGCGTCTTTAGCAAGGACGACAACATCTGCTGCCACCGTAGCAGTTGGTGATGCAGGAGATGTCAAAGCCCCCGGAGCTGATGGGCACTCCCTCAGAGCTGAGGATGCTGCCAACGGCAGCGGAGGTGGAGGATCCCACGGCGGTGTTCTGTGGGAAGGAGCTGAGGATGGGGCCGGGCAGGGTCACCAGCACAGCAGGCGGCTCAATGACGACATGGGAGCTCTGGCACTGCCTGACACAGCACTCATTGCAGCTGCTGGCCAGCGGGCAGGGGCCGCAGGACTGGCAGCAAGGGTTGCAGGGCTGGCACTGCTGGCACTTCTCAGGGCAGGACATGTCTGGAGCCTGGCGCTGCACCTGGCGCAGGGAGGGAGCAGAGCACACGCACATCTGAGACACAGCCCGCAAAGCACCCCCAGCAAGACAAGGCCCCTGCTGCCCGTGGAGCTCCAGGCTGTGCCGCCCCAAACTGGGGATCCTTTGCCTGAGCCCAGCTCGCTCCTTCCGAGCTCAGCCTGGCCCAGCCATGCTCCTGCCCAACCTGCATGAAAATCAGCACCTCAGCCCAGCCTCAGCCTCTGGCCAGAACACACGGCCTTCCCTCTGCCCACACCTCCGCCACCAAGGCAGAACAGCCCCAGAAGAAGAAGGAGCAGGAACAAGGGCTGGAAAGCTCAGTGCTGTCCTCGAGAGGGTGCAGGAGAAAGGGACTTGCAACTCACCTGTTTCCCAAGGAGAAGGAGGAGACAGAAGTGGTTGAGAGAGCCACCTGTTAGGCTGCCTTTTATCCTGGCCCCACACTGCCTCAGGGCCCACATTCCTTGCTGAATAAGTGAGGAAATCCCTGTATGAGCCAAATGAATGGAAAGATCTCAGGGAATGCTATGTCATGTGTTGCTGTTTCCCTCTACAATGACTTTGCAGTTCCTGGCTTCAGGAATCATTGCTGTTTTCTCAAAGACATCTCTTTGGAGTGCTGGCATGTGAGATCCCAGGTTTCCTGGGGGCACGGATGTGTCAGTGTGGTCAGAGGTCATGAAGTCAGTGCAGAAGGGATCCTGAGGAGGCAGGTGATGCCAGCTGGTGCACTTTTTAGGATTTTTTATTTTTCTGCTTAGTTGACGGTCCCTTCCTTTCCTCTTGTTTCCGCCTTTGCCTCTTTCTTTTTGGTGTCCCTTTATATGTGCCTTGTCCTCCTCATAAAATCTGTTTTTATTCATTTCCTGTCTGCAGAGTTCCTGAGGCTCCTCTTGCACTGCAGCCTGAACCACAGTGTGTGTTGGCTACCTGCACATCCATGTGCTTGTGGACGTGTGTGAACACACCCCCAAATGCTGCTGGGTAGTGTACAGCACTTGTGCAACCACATTCTGGCCAATTGCATTTATGCTGATGTGATGGTAAGGGGGAACAATATCCTGTATTATAACAGGTTAAGTAGAAGAGTTAGGCAGTGCTTCCTACTCCAAATTTTGACTGCAGTCCAGAGCTTCACAGTTCACCAAGGTGGTGCTGGAGCTTGGCTTGGTACACTGGGCTTCCCTGGGGGCTCTGCATATCCTGGGGACTACTGGCTACACATTAGTGTTTGGTAGCCCATTTTCAGCCCTTTTATGTCTGAATGGGCAGGAGGTTTGGGGATTAGAGCAGGAGGAAGCTGAATGACAGGATCTTGATTCTCTTAGTCCCTGCTTTAGGGAAGATGGGTGGAGCACTTTCAATCCAGGGAGCCTGAAGACAACACTGTTCATCACTGGTACTCAGCAGAATGTGGTTTGGCATCCATGGAACAGAGACTGGAACTTTCCACGACCACATCTCATTGATCAGAGCACCTGTCCTCCTGGATGAACTGAAGGGCCAAGCTGGTCACTGCTCCATGTGGAGAGTCAATTAGTCTCAGTATGGGATGGTGATGGAAGGCCATTCCTACCACCTTTCTCTACTTCTCCAGAAACGGATCAGAGTGTTTTGCCTAAAAAAGCATCTTTGGTGCTGTCTGTAAATGTGAGCCATTGCTTAAGCCTTGCTTAAAGAATGTGTTAATTCCCAAAGGGACTGATTTCCATACATTGCCATCCATCTCCAGGCTGCAGAGTGATGCCTGGCTCAGTAGGTGTCCTACCATAGCTTTTGCTCTTTGAGAGTTCTCACCCAGCATTCTCTCATTTTCCAAAGCACCTCTGATGAAATATCACCATTATGAAGGGAATTTGGATTGTTTTGAAAACCACTGCCGTCTACCAATATCTTTAAGGGGTAATGCAGACTTCATCAATCTTTGACACTAAATGGAAGGACATAGTGTGTTGGTAGGTGTTGGCTTCTTCTCCCAAGGAACTAAAGTTCTTGACTGCCACTGTATCACCCAGAATGTCTATCCTACATCTCAGAGCTAGACCTTGATCCCTTCAGTTGCATCACCTCATTTGCTATAAGGTCTTAGCCTGCACCCTACTCAGCACCAGTCTGAGTGGTGGCATTGGCCTGGACAGGAAGAGACTGTGTCCCATCCCAGTGGACAAATGTAGGAGATAAGGGTTGATGTTAATATCTCAAACATGGACAGCTGGATGTCCCTGGAGACAGCCAAGGCTTGTGGGTGTGTTTGGGCTGGCAGAGATGCTGTTCATGTTCCCCACAGCAGCCATGGCAGAGCTGTGCTCTGCACTGGGAGTTATAAAGGTGCCCATAACACTCCAGTTCTTTGTCTCCTGCTGAGCAGTGCTCACACAGCATCAGCACTGTCTCTCCAACATTCCCATCCTAACCAGGAGCTGGGGGGTGGCAAGATCCTGGGAGCGGACAAGACTCTGACAGTTGACCCAAACTGAGTAAAAGGGATATCCTACGCCATATGACATGAGCTCAGACACAACAACAGCTATAGAAAGGAGAAACAAGGGTGGGCATTTGTTATTTGCAATGTTTGCCTTCAAGTAACACCATTACATGCGCTCAAGCCCTGCTTCCTGGGACGTGGGCTGATAGAACTATCTGATTGGAAGTAGAGCAAAAAAAGTGGGTTTTTCATGTTTACTACTAAAGGCAAAACCTTTGGCTTTTGCTTTAGCCAACTGCCATTTCTTAATATTGAAGTTGATTTCCTTCTTATTTTCTCATCCCTGTTCACCTCAAAAGGGAGAGTCACACAGTGACTTGGAGAGCACTGGCCTTCCAGCCAAGGTCAACCCAGCATAGCTGGTAATAACCACCAAGGATTGTTGGTAAGAACATGTCATGAGAAAGACCAGCATGTGCCTGGAGAAGGGGCACTGGGAACACTGGGCAGAACTTTTCTGGAGGAAGTGTCCTGGCTGTGGCTCCTGGAGAGGAACAAAATACAGCACAAGAGAAGAGCAAAAACGAGGTGGAGAAATGGGTATGGACTGTTGGCTGAAGGCTGACGCAGTAGGGACGAATCAAGATGCAACACATGCCTGCATGGAATGCCACCAGACCATGATCGGAGCAGTTGGCCTGTTCTGAAGTGTCCAAATCTCCTAAATTCTTGGGCATCTCATCCCAGCCCTAACACAAGATTTCAGATAGGAATTCACCTGGCAGAAACCAAGAAATGAAGAGGCAGCAATGCAGGAAACCAGGACACAGCCCTACCATTAGCTGGGATGGTGCACATTTGACATGAGCTGGTCAGAAAATTATGCCTTCCACAAAGGTGCCTCTGGGCCTGAGGCAGGGCAGGACTGCTATAAAAGGCAGCCCAAGTCTCTGCTCTCTCATCCACTTCTCTCACCTCCTTCTCCTCAGGAATCCTCAGGTGAGTGCGAAGATCCTGCTCCTGCTGCTTCAAGAGCAGCTCTTTCCTGGCTGTAGGTCTCAGCTGAGACGGGATTTGGGAGCACAGGGCTGGGAGCTGCTTCGGCTGGGAGAGGGCAAGGGAGAGAAGGTCTTGTGCAGACAGTGAGAGGCTTGCACTTGGCTGAGGTGGCTCCTGGGCTTTGAGCTGGGCACTGCAATGTGGGCCAGGAGCTGCCTTGGCTGCAGGGTGTTTGGGTGCAGTGCTGCTTCTCATGTGTCCCCACTTTCTCCTTCTGCCTGCCCTCTGCACCAGGTGCACCTGTGACCC